ATATTTGATTAAAACGGATTTGGTGTCTAATAACATTTTTGTGTGAATTTTACGATTTCCAGTTTAAACAAACTGTACGTTACTTATTTGTTGATCTTGACAAAGACAACCGAGACAACACAAAATTTAAAAATCAGGACATAAGATGTTTTAAAGATACCTTTTGGATGTCTTTTAGACGCCTTAAAAAAAAACGTTTTTAAGACGTTTTCGTTACATATGTTTAAGATGTCTTATGTCTCGTTCTTGGACATGCGTGTTGTCTGAAAAGACAAGCCTGATAAATCAGTACGCATTTTGCTTAAACTGGAAATTGTAAAATTCACACAAAAACATTATTAGGCACCAAGATCGTTTTGATCGAATATGGCCTTCTTCGTTTATTTGTGTTAAAAAATATACATATATGCCATTGACATTGACTATAAATTATGGTACTTATAATCATTTTTTTCCCCTCAGTGCAGACATAAAACTCTATTTTTAATGCAACCGTTAAATAGTAAAATCTACAGCTAACAGCGTGTAGTTATCTTTTAATTTAATCTCTCCTTAGAAGTTGTAATAGAAATCTGCACGCTTTTCGCTTTTCAACAGACTTTTTGGCTAAATTTCTAATGTCGTTGGTGGAATTAGTGAGAATATGCAAGCGATGCAATGATCAGATAAACTGCCTCAAATCTGTATATCTTCGATCGGAGCAATTATTAGAAGGAATAGATAAGGGATAATGATACGAGCGCTAACATCTGCATTTACATAGTTCCTGCAATTCAACGTGGTTTCTAGTCTAGTATCATCAAAGGCTGCCTATTACCATCTGCAGTATTCATAGCCATACCGTAAGCAGAACGTTATTACTTCCCTCGAGAATCGCCACTATTTTCGACAGAGGTCGAGGAATTAAAATGAAAATCAACACGATCTAAAATTGCTACTTCAACTTAGTTACATCGCGATATTCGCGCTCTAATATCATATCATGTTAATTAGCCCTTTCACCAACAGTTTGCGCTTTGGCGAAATGTAATGCTTATCTCTATTTATTAAAAGGAAAATGGCAAAAATTTGTGGTAATGAAAAGTAAATTCTAGTTTAACTGAGGAATTGGACTCCCTTTTTGAAAATTCGCACAGGAATAGTCATAGAAAATATAAATCTCGGTTTCTCATGTACTTGATCTAATTCTAGAAGAAAATAAAGATGTAGTAGATCTCCGAGATTAAAGTTAACCGACTTTGCTGAAACCGTTCATAAATCCTAAAAATAGTAACAGGGTCATGTTCGACTTTTATTTTGAGAGATATTTGCACGGCGAAAGGATACGCGAATGAAGGTACAGAAAACGTCGATATCACTGAGACGTATATATCGCGAGACAGATAACACTCTATCGTCACACTCGCGCGGAAGTAAAACACGACTCTAGAAACGATTCGACGATTCATGCGAAACCTTTCTAGTATTTTGCTTTTCGCACGTTTATAGTTAAAGCGCAATGAATAAAACGTAACCCCATTTTCCTGGCATAGAACAGAAATAAACTATTATCGAGGTAACAATAGCCCTCTACACTGAAACAATTGCGGTCAGTAATTGCGATCTTGCTCGGAAATTTAAGAGTTGAGCGACGCGTTAATGGCCTAAATACCACAAATAGGAGTCTGGAGTTGCTCGAGATAAAGACAAAACGAAGTTCTATAGGTCGTACGATTTATATCGCTATTTGTTAAACGACAACGAAGTTGTCGATGTAGCGAAGTGATTCGTATAGTTACCGTCGTGTGTGGAACATGGCAAAGATAAAACGCGGTTTATGTTCAGTTTCATTCAAACTGAGTTACTACGTATTGAAGAGGCAGGAAGAGAGAGAGAGAAAAAAAAGAGAGACAGCGTAAAGAAAGTAATACAGGCGACGTATTTAATGGAGTCTTTAATAATTGCGGCCCACGCCTCGACACGCGGGCATCAGGTGTCCTATTTAAATATTTATAAAGCCTCACCTCTTGCGTATCGTCTCGAAACCGAGGTACATGGAGCGGTACGCTGACTTGTCCAGAGGTAAATTTACCGAGCAACGACGACGACGAGCATCAAGCTTACTTCATGTATTTTTCAGAAAAACGCGTCCACAAAGATTCTTGTTTAACGATCCATTGCGAACGTTGCGGACCATTTTTATTTATATTACATTTTAAAGGAAGTTAATTAATATTTGATGACATTGTAATAATGAATTTTTATGCTTTTAATGATGTTGATGGCAGAATATTGAATATTATTTGCAAAAAATTATTTATATAAACAAGGATAGTATTTATAAATTTAGTGCACGGAAAAAACAGTTTTGCTAAAATATCGAAAAATTGAACTAAATGTAGATCTGAAAGTAACTTTGTTGGAGTATCAGAATAATTAGTAAGGTGCTCAAGTATAATGAGTAATGGCAAAAAATTTTAACATTCTAACAGTCTTGAGCGTACTGCACTAAGAAAAGAATTGTTCATTCAACTAAATTCATTTAGTTCGTCTTTATTTCTTTCATTGGAGAATCTATGTATTTAAGTGAAATATAATATATGTTTGACTAAAATACATACATTTTCCATCAAAAGAAACAAAGACGAACTAAATTAATTTAGTCAAATGAACAATTTTTTGTTATCGTATAATTATTATATTTTGATAATCCAACAAAATTATTTTCAGATTTATAGGGAAGGATAGTACAATTTCGAACATGGTACATTTGATTTTTTACTGCTTTTTTAGTACCTTTCGCACAATGAGACGGTTACTAATCTCGAATCTTGAAAATTGAATTCAAATTTTATTTCGTTCAGAATTGTACCATTTTCGAATTGTACTATCTTATCCCATCTAGCTAAATTTTTAGATATATTAGCAAAATTGTTCTTTCCGTGTAGCATTAAAATTTTAATCTTCAGTAAATATGAAGCCCTTTATTCAATTTTGCCTCTTTTGAAGAGAAATCTTAGTCACAACGACACAAGTAGCTTTGCTATCATTCATGAAGTAACACCGTTTCTGTCTTTCCTAATAGGTCTTCTCTAACTATCGTGCGTTAAGCAGTATTCAGAACTTGCTTCGTTGCAATCATTAGTCCTCTATTCAACGCGACCAAGTTAGAAATGAACGCCGTTATGGTAAGGATATAATCGCATTCTATTATTCTACCAGCTTTTGCGTTCAGATTGTGACGGAAAATATCTAAGTCGGAGAGTGAACTTTTTGAAGAATGCGAAGAAGAAGAATGTTATCGTTTATCCTGTGTGGAACTCGTGCTTCTTGAGTATGAATAAAACTCTCTTGACATTGACGTTCGAGGGACATTAGTATTCAAAAGAAATGTAAATTTTTATATGATGGAAATGAATCCGATGTCATTTTTCTAATTAATGTATGAAGACTTGAGATAAATAATTTTAACTTTCAAAAAATATAAGCAAAATCTATTTTTTTTTAAATAATAAAAGCATTGATTTAAGAAAATACAAAAGGAATATAGTTTCCATTTCACTTTATTCAAAATAGCGTAGCCTTATGATGGTCTTTCTATGATTGCATCCACTGCATTTGACAATGTTGACCTCTTGGAGTCTCTTTTCAATGAAAGAGTTGATTACAGCATGGCGTTTACGGTCTTTTTCTCTCTCTATGTTTTATTATTACACCGTCATTTAAATAAAAAAAGGTATATAGAGGCAGACAAATATTTTTCAATTCAATAAATTATATGGGAGACTTGCATGTGTTTTCCGCATGTAACGCAACGAACGTGCAAGGATGTGCAAAGCGTTTCAAATTTATTTGAAGATATTCCTGAACGTATTTGAGGAACCTGAACCTTCCAATTCCCATGATACCTATATCTTGCAGCGCAAAGTTCTTCGCGTTTATTTAGTACGCCTCCTTTAAGCTTTTTCGCCAATATGACAAACATCCTCGTTAAACTCCGTAAAATATGTGGTATAAAATATGTGAATATCGAGTATGTAACATTCAACAAGGACTTATCGAGGATTGCATAATTATGGAGATTATATTGAAAAACATATAAACGCCGTTTTATGGTCGCGTTTCATATTCTCTTAATCTCCGGAAAAATAAACTTTTTCCATCCATTGCTGTTGCGAGCAACTTCCGGATATTCTGACATCGGCACAAAAAGCAGGGGAAATTATTCAAGAGTGCTCGCACACTGAAATATGTCTGGAGCATTCGCCTCTTCTCTTTACATTCTCTCTTGCTTTAATAAAACTATTTTTATCAAAGTCTCCCGCCACGAATCAATTCAAGAAAATCCAATCGGGATCTGTGTTCCGTGCGTTTACGCTTGGATTCGAATATCCTATTCTTCTTGCACTTTCTTGAATTTCTTAGAAATACGATGTCGTCTGGACATGGTTGCTTTTCTTATTTTTTGAAAAATCTCAAGGAAATATTGGAGATATTGTTTGTTGAATTATGTACCCGATATACATACAAACAATGTAACAATTTGTTAAATTTATGAATATACCTATTGTTTATCGACGAAATCGATGAATTTTTCGGAATTTGATGCAATCTCGCAAGAGATACACCTCATCAAAATTCTATATAAAATATAAACACACACACAACCTGCAATTTATACTAAAAACCAGAAACACAAACAATACTAAATTCTTCTATAACTGATACATTTGTTCTATATTACCGTTAGTTTGTATATTGTAGTTAAAAAAAAACATTGAAACTTTTATATACAATTTAAAAACAAAATTAGGATATCAGAGAGCAACAACTTTTATGTAGCGATAAATTACACGAAATACTAGTTATTTTCGTGTCAGACTCTATCTAATTTCGACTAATTAAATAGGAGTGCGGGAATTTCGATATATCTACAACTTCGGAATATGTATGTCCCGAGAGTACAAAAGTGCTACGGGATTAAGAGCTAATGTCGCATTCATGGATGTGTAATTCCGCAGCTGGAGGCGTGCGGCCGACTTCTGTGCTGCGTGCAGAGGCTCTGCAGAAGCGGAAGTGCAACCGACGAGCCCGCTGAGCATCGGATCAACGCTCGCGGTCGACGAGGAGCACAAGCGGAGCCTGAACTGGTGGAGGGTCAGGGTCCCTCGGGTCCAGAGGATGGAATGCTCGCTATGCCCGTCAGCCCGAGTCCCGCATCCACCTCGTCGCAGGAGGACGCTTGCAAACCGCCGCCGCGCAACTGCTATCGTCTCGTTATGCTCGGCAGTGCCCGGGTTGGAAAGACCGCCATTGTAGCACGGTAAACGCCCGAAATCAGCAAACTACGACATTCAGTTTTAAAGCGAGTTTTTCCTTCTATTATCCATCATCATTTATCGATGTCACATTTCATTCTCGTTTATTTTACACAGTTGGAAAATTATGTATTAAATTTAATATATTTCACGTGTCTCAAACGGTCCTATCTAAATTCTTGTGTTAAAGATTGAGTCAATGTCGAGCCGAGCTTCAAGTCGAACTTCAAGCCGAATCTTAAGCCAAACCTGGAACCAAATTTCGAATCGAACACATTAGAGGCGCTCTTTGAGTCAAATCTCGTGAGCGTTATGAGCATTTTTGCAATCTATATTGTGGTTTTAATTATGTGTTTTATATACGTAATGTTCACGAAGTTTGGCTCGAAGTTCGGTTCAAGCTTAGCTTATCGAAGCTCGGCTTGAGAGACTCGGTTCAATAATTTAGACGCATTTTAGACCCGTATCAGACTATCAACTCTGATCGACCTGATTGCTGATTGTGACTGCTGATTCATAATAGATTCACTATTGGGTCAATAGTCGGGTAAGCCTGAGTCGGTAGTTTGATAACAGCTTGCGGAGATGCTGAAATGACAAACTCCAAAGGAATTGTCTATTTCACTGATCGAATGCGATTTACACACATGCGATTTTAATTATTTTAAGTATATAATAAAACTAAAACGTATAACTATTTACATTTGAATAATATATAAGAATGTTATAAAACCTTGAGTTTATGATTTTGAAGCTTACAAGAGGAATAAACAAAAAAAGAATAAAGGAAAAATATCTGAGTGTACGTACTAAGATTAAATAGTTTCAGATGATATTTTTCAATTTATTTCTCTTGTAAGCTTCAAAATCATAAACTCGAGGCTTTATAATATTCTTATATGTTATATGTTATTCTTATATATTATTCAAATGTGGATAGATACTTTTAGTTCGATTATATACTTAGTATCATTTATATTATATGAAAAATATAGATAGTATATATATAATGTAGAAATATAGATAGGAAATTGTAACTCACATACTTTTTTGTTTTTTTTTATCTAGTTGTATTTTCCCACATTTATTTGCATACTTCCTTTTATTTTGGAAAGACTTTATTCTGTATAAGGAACAATGCAATAACTTTGACTTAATTTAAAAACAAATTGTAAAAACATTTTTCTCGATAAAATTAATATTTACAATACATTAAACTAACACGTATATTTATTTTTTAGTAGAATTTACGTTTTAAAACTATATAATTTTTATACTGTTTGTTCACTTGTTCATAAATTGTGTTATTTTAACACTAAGAAATATTAAATTTTTTTTAACATAAAATATCTAAATCACGACGTAATCACATTATGTTAAATTAACATTTTTGCATTAAAAATTCAACACAAAAATTTTAATGAGAACCAGTTTGAAGATTTAATATAAATACAAAATATTTTTAACCGTGTATGTTATTTTATCATATTTGTAAATTTTATCATTTTTGTAAACGTTATACTTATTTTTTCATATTGATTTCCCTTTAGTTACATCTAAATTGAATTACGTAAAAGATTTTATTTTCTATATTTTTTGCTTATTTATGTTTAACTTATATTTTGGTGCAACGTTTCCCATTAGAACTACGCCGATTTAATATTTCTGCTGTGTGTCCTTTTTTTTAATATTCCATACGCTTCGTCCGTTCGGTCTTCTAAATTCTGTCCGTCGTGCTCTCTTTCACAGATCGATTACTAATAGTGCGAAACAATGTCATTCAATTAATCTTTGAACCGTACTGCCGGCCAATACATACCGCATTATTGTATTTTCTATTGTTACGTAATCGCTGCTACCATGCGACACAGTATCGAAAAACTGACCGCCACGTTCCTGGGAACAAAGCGTAATCCTTCCGAATTGGATCGATCTGTTAAAATTGCGACCTAATCATATTTCTTTTCTCATCGTCAAATAGAACCGGAGAGTTGCCGCTGTCCCAATATTGCTCTTCGATTAATGTGATGGTTCTGCGAAATGTCGAAAATTTGCGGTCGGTTCGAAGTTATGTTGACTGTCCTAAATTGACCGCAATTACGCGACCCCTATATATGCTAAGCGAATTTTCGTCCATATGTGTATACATATGTGATTGCTAACGAGCCCATTTAAAAAATTGAGATAGATGCTTATCTCCGTCCACAAATGCGATTTTTTAAATATTCTCAGTGCTACGATTAACTCTGTGTTTACCAATTCCGTTCGTCGGGCTCGTATCTGTGATTCGGAAAATTCATTATATAATTAAATTTTAAAGATGCTTTTTAAGCTTTTTTTTTAATTGGCTACACTTACAATTAGAGAAAAAGACATAGTGTTGGCAACTATAAAAATAACAACTATACTTGTTTTATGAATGTAGACTCTTACAGAAACGTAATACTGGAAAATTTAATATTGAACAGTAATTAATTATTTATTTAATACTACTACAGTAATTAATTATTCATTTTAAATATTGGAAGTACTGTTATTTAATGCTTTTAGTACTCCACATAAATAGTTAATTACTGTCTTTCATGTAATGAATTGGTCAGTAATAAATTAACTACTTGATATTAGTTTTCTATAAGGAAAATTATATTGTATACATATATTTAAATGAATTATTTTATAGTTATTGCAATTATAAAATATGATTTATTCAACTATATATAGTTGCTATTATTATGTTCTTTCTGAGTGTATAATACATAAATTATTAATATTCCATTAATCTACATAAAAAAGTTATTAGAAACGGAATTGAAATCTGAAACTCGTAAGATAACTGGTGAAAAAGGAGTTAAAAAAATACAAAAAGACTAAAATAATGAAGCGTCCATACGGATAAATTTCGCTCACGTTTCAGATTTCTGTTCAATAAATTCGAGGAGAGTTATACGCCGACGATAGAAGATTTTCACAGGAAACTCTACAGGATCAGAGGCGAGGTTCATCAGCTTGATCTTCTAGATACAAGCGGAAACCATCCGTTTCCGGCGATGCGACGATTGTCTTTCCTGACGGGTAAGTCCATCGGCTTACCTCCCCGGAGAAATGCGCTGCTGCGCGTTTCAAGTAGACATCATATTCAAGATGCCGCAAAGTAATCGCGCATATATTCCCGCTGAATATAAAAATTTAATTCTCGGCGATGACACACCGCTTTTGTCGCGGCGAAAATTAGTACGAGAAGAATTAATGGATACTTGACTCCCGTATGAGCAGGTAAAAAATTAGCATGTTAACGAATGACGTGTTGCAAATGCATCGCGATGCATTTTATATGAGAATACGTCAGACCGCGGTAGATGATGAAAAAAAAGAGTCATAAATATCCAGACGCTTTTTTGCTGTGAATATATTTGTAAATTTTTAAGCGTTTGAGAAAACGCGATAGATACGAAACGTGACGCTCACCTAAAGATTAACACTCTCGATAATCCTACTAATATCCCTCTCGATGGCTGAGAAAACTTTCGTTCTTCGATATGACGAAAGAATGTCTAGAGCCATACACCGATGGAGAAAATCCGTACCGATCGTTTCTGTGTCGCCAGATTCGCGCTTCGCAAGTTTCAAGACTTTCGGCGAAATCTCATATCCTCAACGATAGTTCACTACGTCCTGTGCGCGGGAAAAGTTTGAGGGAAACTGCCCGGGGTGAGTGTCGACTGTTACTGGAATTTCAGCGATGCTTAGATACGAAATTGCACGAGTATCACGTGGTTTCAATTAATTTTGTAAAAAGTCTAAGTGAGAATTACACGTTCAACGTTACAGTAAGAATTCAATTTCTGATTAAGAGTTCAGGGTTGAAATCGAATCTACAAAGATACAGAAAAAAGCATCTGCTTTAATAGTTCATCTCATTTATTTATTTCTCTGTGTGGCGTAAGAAATATTTTATTAGATTTAAAGATATAAATAATGAGATTAAATTCTTTTAAATCCTTTTTTTTTCCACTACTTTTTACTTGTCTCATTTTGATAATAATATATCTAACATAAACTGATTGATGATGAGCTCTTCAATGTTACTTTGTCTAATTGTGGCTGTCTTTATACGGTACGTGTAATCCCTTAAGCACGATTGATTACATTTCACCTGTATATTAGAGTGACAGTGCTCTAACTAATCTCCGTCAGAATATTCAACGTGTTAAACGAAAATGGGATGTTCAGCGAGAACTAGGGAACGAGAGATGAGATAATGATAAGTGGCCAACAATACTGAAGAACGATTATGTCTGTGGAAACGTATGGGGATCGTATGAGGGGGAGTACATTCGCTCCATAACTCAATTTAATCTACTTTCCCTTTTCTTCGCTATCCGGTAGCCTTGTCTCTGCGGCACATGGGACCGTTTGTGCTTCGTTGATTTTACGCATATAGACCTCTCTTGTCCCTCGTCATGTCGCGTTACCACCTGTACCCGATAACCTGATATCGTACCATGCTGTCGGATGCGCGACAATTGCATCAGTATCGCGGTTGTCACGATGGAGGGCAAACCCTCCCAACTGAAAATACATATTTACACTCGGACATATATATATATATATATATATATACACACATACGTCACGTCGGCCGACGCAGAACATAATCTAAGTTATGATCTGTGAATAATATCCAATTCCCAAAACGCACCGTTTGGCAAGATCATTGTTAATTGCTACACAGTGTGATGCGCTCTGGAATGAAAAATCGATTCTCCATTTAAACTTAATAAGTGTATTAATACATTAACCTCTTGAGTGTCAGGCAAGGAAAACGCTTATGTGCCAAGAATACTATCAATGACATAAATTTATAAATATTCAGCGACCTCAAAACATTAAAGTATGCATTATCAGTTCAATTGCTGCACTGCAAAAGTGAGTTATGAAATATGCGAATTTTTCCGTCATGAAGCACTTTTGGCCAGTTTTATTTTAGCGGATTTTTCCGTCATTGACACTCAAGGGGTTAAAAGTGCAGTTGCTTAATTTGTTTGATATTATTACATTGCTTATTACATTTGTATTCTTATAACAATTTTATTACGAAAACGTAGTAAAAATATTTTATGACCAGAAACGGTATTACGTAACTTTATATAATCGTACAAAAAATTGTTTAATAATAAATAGAAATTTACGCGATTCGAAAGTTTAGTAGCAGCAGTTTGTGCTCCCGGGATCCAGCCACTCCGATTCGCTGTTTTAAGCGGGGCTGCACAAATTGCATCGGACAGAACCGATACTCGCCTTTCAGTTATTGCACTACATGCGCCTGGAAACGGCAATGTATCGTCGTATGTTGCCAGTGAAGTTGACCTCACGTAGGAGCGTACGATAAAATTAGACACGTAAAATTCGAAGAATTTTTAAATTGCCGTTCGTGTGTGCGGAAATCAAGAGAGCCACCGTCGATGGGAATTTCATCGCGGCGTGTTTAGTTTTGTATTCCGTTCGACGCTCGTGCCTTCGGAAATTCCGTGCATTTGACAAAACGAGTCACGACTTCACGTTTTCCGCTCGCATTTTTCTCGACACTCGCGCTCCACCAGAGATCTCTTAATAATTCATAGAGCGACCGATTGCCAAAAACATTTTGCGCATAGTTATGTGCATCTAATAACAGTTGGCGAACGATTGCGCTTTTTTTATGCGACCGCATCAGTAAAGAACCGTTTTTTTACACTCAATCGTATCTGAATTATTAATTTATAATTGCAGTTGCTTCTAGATTTTTTATATTTGTAATGTTTTCATAAATAACGTGAAAAATAGGGAAAGCACCAAATATAATCGAGACTGGATCTTGTCCAACAATATTTCTATGCAAATTTTAAATGCATTTTTAGTTCTACAAACTACGTGCTCGTTACTGTCGGACTTGAAACGCAATTATAAACTGAAGCTGGAAGCAATGTCACAAATTAAATTAATCGTCAATTTATTATGCTAATAAGCATTTTAACACCAGAATCTAACTGTCATTATTGTTTCCTTTTTTATTTTTTAGATTAAGGAATCCTAAACCAACAGGAATTAACCAATTGCAGATTGCCAATTTTTCTGAATTAACTTTATAGATCATCAAATCCTTTTATACAAAAAATAAAAGTACGCACAAAAAGAAAACACCGGCCACACTAAATTTGACAAGAAAATCGGAGAAAAAATTAAAAATTCACTTTATTTCAACTCTCACAACTGTCATCTCAGGTTATAATTCCCTTAGTGCAGAAATTCTGTAGGTCGTACGTACCAAATGATACCTTCCCCGGAAGCGTATGACATGCACAAACAATCCTGAGTTTGCGAAATTGTGATCGAAAGCATAACAAAAAAGATTTTCTAAAATTAAAGTCGTCTTTTTTGTATAACAATTACTTTTTTCCTCTTTTACAGATTTTCCTCTTTTTAGGATTAAAGTATGCACATTAATACGTGTCTGTGAGGTGGAATTTATTCCGGAAACAACAAAAAATTTCGAAATTGAAATCTTAAGAAAAATTTGTTGTCGTTCTCAGCATAAACTCCACCTCACAGACACGTATCAATGCGTATACTTCAATCCTGGAAAAGGATTTTCAAATCTGTAAAAGAGGAAAAAAGTAATTATTAAACAAAAATTATGATTAGTCGGTAATATAAACGGCTTTAGGATCTCCTATTTTTGTGTAAAAGACAGAATTTCGAAATTTTTTTACTTTTCAATGTTCTTTATGATGAATACTGATAAAATATTTGAATTTTCATCACTTCCTTCATTTTCATAGTAATTTATTTGAATTTTTTAATGAGTAAGGAACGTTGGCACTTCTAGTGTTAAAACACTCCAAAAAATAACATATAATAACGTGTTGTGAAAAAACGTCTTCGATTTTCGCGCACGCAATCACTCGTCTAGCTGATCGGTTTATGCGTCGAGAGCATGAAAAAGGTTTCCGCGAGCCGCGAATCCGTCGGAATATGCTTGAAACAGGAACGCGATATGACCCCGATTCGAAGACAATGAGCCTTCGGACGGAGTTCCGGCTGTTGCGAGAGGAGAGAATTCCTTTCGACACGACCAAAGACACAAACTTTGCGGCATAATGGCTGACATACATATATTTTCATCTCGCGAGGACAATATCAGGCCTGCTTGGCGTGTTTCGCGAGAATAAGATGTTTCGCGAAGTTCCACATGTAGTAGCCACGAAGCGACAAGATTTTCGAAATATAGTGTGGAGGTCTGATCTCTTCTCCGAAGAAGTTTCTGAATGATATTACGCGGACGAAATGAAACTAAATGAGTTAAACGGATGAACTAAATGGATTGTCTTTGAAATTTGGAAATTGTATTTATGAGGTAAATCAATTTTGTTACGTATAATAACAAGATTTTAGGACAAGCGATATCACAAAGGTATCTCGTAAAGTTTAATTAAATTTTACATGTTTAACTGTGTACCAGCATTTACAATTTTGTGACTCAATTATGTCGTAGATAGAAAAAGAGAAGGTCGCAGAAGACATATGCTAAGTACCTTTTCATATCATCAGATCGATAATAATTAGAGGGATATATATACCTATTATATATACAGGGTGTTTCCAAATTAAATGGCAAAACTTCGGGAGCGTGTAGAGGAGTAAAAAACTAAGAAAAAAAGTCCTATAGACATATGCTCCTTTTTGCTTTGTTTCGCAGGAAATCACGAAAAAAGAAAAAAATATATTTAATTTATTATTTTAATTATTTTATTTATAAACTTTTTAATGAAGATTTTGTTCGAAATGTGCACCTCTTGCAGCAATACAAGCATTGCATCTGTCAAACACGGCTCTTGTAGCAGCCAGGCACT